AAGCCGAATTTGTTTATCTTTCAAAAGAAAATGCAAACAAACTACATCCAGTTAAATTATAATCATGAAAAAAATAAAAAGCAACAAAGATGAGAAGCAAAGATGAGGCACAAAGATGCATCAATAGAAATGTTTGTTAGTGCCCGACTAGGGATACTGTGTTTTTATTCAGCACTATCTTTATTACAGGGATATTGCTCTGTAAATTTAATATACTGAAAATCTTGCTTAGAGAGAAATGTGTTTGAAGACAGTCATGTGAAACAGCTTTAACAGTATTGAGATTTCTCTAATCCTACCAACCTGAAAATCCTATCAGTAAAAGATTTGAAAAAACTTGTTGATTCTTATATACAACCATTCTTTCTTTTCTTACTATTTCATTGCTGGCTTGCTCTTAATTTTTCTGGAAATCAGAGAGACAGAAGTCAAAACTGGATTGTAGACTCAGATGTTAAGAAAATCCTGGATATCTAGCAAATGTATAGTTTGCCCACCCGTCTGTCAGTCACGTCTGATTCTCTGTCTATAATGGAGATGTTGGAAAGGATTGGTGGGGGGGTCGTGTGGAGGGAGAAATTATCGTGAGAGTATTTCTATAAAACTCTGGACTAAATCAAAGTTCCAGCCAAAGAGTCTAACAGAGACATAAATAAACATCATCTAGTCACCTAGAGTTCTTTTTCACACTAAGAGTAAAAAATGAGATGAGCGAAAGAATTTTCAGTTAAGTATTCAGAACAAAATGAAGGCTGCGGTCTAAGAAAAGGTCAGTGAAAGTAAGCACAATTAGTTTTATAAAAAGGGAAAGAAAGAAAGAAAAAAAGAAAGAAAGAAAGAAAGAGAAAGAGAGAAGGAAAGGAAGAAAGAAAGAAAGAAAGAAAGAGAGAAAGAGAGAAGGAAAAAAGAAAAGAAAGAAGAAAAGAAAAAGAAGGAAGGAAGGAAGGAAGGAAGGAAGGAAGGAAGGAAGGAAGGAAGGAAGAAGGAAGGTTGGTTAGTAGAAATTACTAGTTATTTTGGAGAAAACGTGATCCACAAGTGCAGCATTTATTAGAATCTCAGACAATCTATCTGAGAATTTTTTTTAATAAATTGTAATTTCTTCTCTATATGTTGGTTAGGGCAGAATTTTCACCAGGGAAAAGCCAGTGTTAAAAATTGGATAAAAGTTAACCTTATCTCTTTAAGGTTCTCTCTCACCAGTTTTCTCTAGTGCGGGCTCTTGCTATTTTCAATGTCTATTAGAAAAGTGACCATTACATTTTGCTTAGAAATATAATTTCCAACCATACTAGAAGTCAAACTAAATATATTAATCAATAGCACTTACATTCATGTCAAACTGTTATTTTTTAAATGACTAACATGATAAAATACTAACTCCAATTAGTATTTGACAATAGAAAATTTTACTTTGCTTAGAAATTTAACTAGAAGTTAAGTCAAATACACGGGTAAATCAGCAGAACAGGCTCATAAAGTCACAACATGTTATCATTAAAGAGATAAAATCTCCAGTTAGAAAGTTCAATTATTCCACAACTGAAAATCTGACTTTGCTTAGAAATTTCTCCTACCACATTAAAAATTAAGCCAAACACATGTGGGAAAACCAGAAAGTTCATAGATCCTCAGAAAATTGTTTAAAAAATAAATAAAATGCCCAACTAGAAATTCCAGTTATTATTTGACAGGCAAAACTTCTACTTCTTTGAAAAACAATTTCTCAATATCCTAAAAATTAATCTAAATACATGAAGTCAGTCAGCTTCTTCATAAGACATATCAAACTGTCATAAAATAGGAAATGGTTTAAGCAGAAAGTCATTATTATCTAGAAAATGAAAAATCTCACATTGTTTTGAAATATATTTTTTCTACCACACTGAAAGTTAAAAATAGATGCTAAATCAACAGTTTCATAGATTCAAAGCAAATTCTCATTAAAATGATGAACATGTCCAAATACCCAATTATTATATGATAAAATAAATAATGTACATTTCTAATTTCTTTTGCTTTGTAGCTAATCTTTTGCTAAATGGGTGAATAAATTCAACAATGGGAACAAATAACTGAGAAGAAACAAAATTCACTCAAAGTACTAAATGTCAGAAAGTGTTTAAAATTAGTCTCTTAAATTCTAAGCGTTGGTTTAGCATGTTACATTGTTGTTTAGATAACATTAACATATTAATATACTTCTGCTTTAACATAATTTTTGTTATTTTGATCCTTGAAAGTTTTGACTACTTTCTATACTTTTCACAGAAGATTATGTTCTAAGTGAAAATTTTTTACCTAGTTAAAGAATAAGCAAAAAGGAAATACACCAAAAAATTAACTATTTCACTTAGAACAGTAAGTCAGAAAATATCATCAATCCTCTAGTTTTAAATATTTATGCACTAAGGTTTTAAGGCTTTTCACTTAAAATTTTAATTAGAAAAAGTAATCAATATTGTTTTATTTGAGACAATAATATTGCAAATTTAATGTGATGTGACATATAGGAGTTTCTTGGAAGGAAAAATAACAGAAGGACCTTGATTTGTTTCTATATTTAGTTTTCAGAAATTATATACATGTAAGTTTATAAAGGCATATAAATTTCTTTGCTACATACATAGAAAGGTTCTGAAAAAGCAGACTCCGCAACGTTTACTAGAGTTACCTCAAAACAAATAGACTGCTGAGGATGGTAATTTTCTTCATTTTTCCCCCCAGTTTTCTGGAGTTTAGCCCCGTCCTGAATTTTGTAGTGACTCAATTACTTTTATTGTGATAAACGCAATATAAAACTGTTTATTTACCCAAAGAATCCTACTTAACAGTTTGAAATTTGTCAAGAACCAAGTTGGTTTAAACGTGATCAAACCTTAAAAGTCCTACAGTACATTTTTAACATTGAATTTTCCCTACCAACTTTATTGGTTTTTAATGTGACTTTTTGAAAAAATGAATGTCTATCAGTTAACAACTCAGAAAAGTAAATTTCCAGGATCAGAAAAGATGCTAAGTATCAGAGTCTGTCGGATAACCAGAACAGACGTTAACAAGCATGGGAAACCCTGAAATTATTCAGAAAAGGATGAAGAATCTAACTAAAAGATACTTTCAAAAAGTGTAATCTCAAAAAGTATAATTGTGTTCACCCAACTTCTCAGAAAACAAAATATCTTTCATTGTTGGAAATCTGCATCTCATATTTCTGACCCCAACTTTTATTTTTTTTTTTGATAAGAAGTAAAATCTCTGTAAATGTGGCAGTTTGTTTATTCCTAGAAAGACTTAAGTGGGATCCCTGCCTCCTTGTCATCCACAATGGGCCAAATTATTATTTATCATTAAGAATAAAACACTCTACAGCACTGTTATTAAAATATGCCCAGTTTTAGTCTTCAGACACAAACGAGTTTCATCCGTGATTCAGGAATCACACAGTTGTAGGCAATTTGGTTTGCCGTTTAAACTTATTTCACTATGGTTATCAACAGATTGTTAGTTTTCCTCAGCGCCTAGCACTCGGGCGCTAATATGGAAATTAGTGCTAAGGTTTTCTTTGTTACTTGTTTTTGAGCATCCTTCCTCATCAGTATTTGGTCTAGATTTTCATTGCAATTTTCTCTAACGCAAAATATGTATGTTTAGACGCAAAAAAAAAAATAGACAAATATCTGTGGCTGAATCTCGGCAACACACTTGAAAGGATTAAACTTGCGGTTAACCGGGACTGAAAGCACTCATTCACTCTGCAAGATTTCGGGACCGGGTGGTAGAAGATGTAGTTTTGCAGGGAAAGCGAGGTCTCTGCGTAAACCTCGCAATCACCACCAAAAAGGCCTTAACTGGGAGCCAGCGAAGCCCGCCATCCACAGCTGTTTCTGATTGTCTGTTTTTTGAAAAATCCAGCTCTTGGTGGGGCAAACGGTGCTGTTTGCAGCGTCGCTGGCATTCAGCCGGGGTTCAACCCTGACCCGAATACCCGGTTTAGCTCCCAGAGTTTCAAGATTCCATGTCTCAGCTCCATAACACGTAAGAAAAACAGGGTTTCGACTGCCCAGAGAGGCGGTTTGGAGGAGGGTGGAATTGAGTGTTCCATGAACAATTTACTGTTCTCCCTGATCGTTCTCAAGGAAAAGAGTCGTGTTTGTGCAGCGAGAACGCGGCCTCTGTGGCTCTATTCGGCCTTAAACCCCATTTTTAGGAGTAACACTCCCCACAAAATGGTCAACGACACCCCAGTTTCGTGTTCTTGCTCTTTTGTTTGTTGGGGGGGGTTGCAGAAGGCAACTGCAAAGGTCCACCACCGCACCCAAGTGGGGGTGGGGGGGGCAGAGAATGGGGCGAACGAAAACTGGAGAGGAGATTTCTGCCTGCTTTGGACAGGGAGGGGCCCGCGGGGGCGCAGAGGGAAAAAAAAGGCCAGGGGTCAAGCCTGAGAAAAGACGCACAGGGTCCAGACAGTGGGGTGCGGGGTGTGCTGGAGGGGGGGGGGGAGCAGTGGGGTCGACGCCAACAAGAGAGGCTGACGCCCAGAAAATGTGTCGAGGTACCCCAAACCCGGGCGAGGGGGATGGGAAGGCAGAGGCCTGTTGGCACCAGGACCTCCCGTCGCGCGCAGAGACACTAACCTGTCAGCAAGAAGGTGCCAGTGGTCGCGGGGCTCATCCTGCGTGTCCCCCGACCCTGTCCCGTCCAAGCAAAAGGGTCTCCCAGCTCCCACCACCGGGGCAATTGCATTCTTGGCCTGGCTAGGCCGTCCGTCCTCGATTCTCCCCACCCCTCCCTTTCTTCTTTCCTCCAGCTCGGCCAGTTCAGCATCAGCATCCTGCACCCCCTTCTTAATCCCATACTCCCTCTAGCGGCGGGCTGGTGCAGCACGCCGGGCGCCCCCACCCCCATCCTCCCCATCCCCCCCCCGCCCCGCCCCCCCCTCCGCCCCCCTAACCCGCGAGGCACGCTGGGATTTGGCGCCCCCTCCTCGCTTCAGCCTATATAAGGCTCCCGATCGGCGCTCCTGGTACACGCGCTTCAACTTCGGTTGGTGTGTGTCGAAGAAACCCGAAGAGCCCTCGGAGAACGGCGGAGAGGGTCCACCGAACCTCGCAGAAAGCTCCGCTGAGCGGGCTCGTAGCCGGAGTCTCTCCGTGCTGCGGAGCACCCAGCGGTGCCCACGCCTGGCACAGGTGTGGGACCCCCGTCCTTCCTGTCTTCGCAGAGGAGTCCTCGCGTGGTGAGTATGCGGTGAGGATGTTTTTCTTCTTAAGAATACATTCATTCCCCCGTCTTAACGGGATCCGGGGAGATGGAGTAGCACCCACGAATGCCTCCACGTAAATCTTGTCACGCCTTCACTGGCAGTGCCCCCAGAACAGAGTGGAGAAACCCAGCCTTCAGGGCTTTGATTTCTAGGTTCCAAGTCCCCCACATTGGCTGTAGACGAATATGAGCTGCGGACAGACATGAGCTGCAGACGGACATGAGCTACAGACCGATTTTGCAATGCGCTCGATAAATGCGCTATGAAGCGCAAAGCGCTGCAAACTAACGGGCGCGTCCATCAAAAAACGATAAGCGCTTTAAATGCGCTACACGCCTGATGGGGCGCTTTAATGCGCCGCGAACTAATAAGCGCTTCAGATGCGCTACGAAGGGGGAAGGCGTTTCGATGGCGCTACACACCGATGGGCGCTTCATTGCGCTACAAACTGGTGGGCGCGTCGATGTGCCGCGAACCTGTGCGAATTGCATCTACACGCGAGCAGCAGCGTGATTTGCACTTAAGGTACAAAATTGGAGCTGCAAAAGATTAGCGCTACCAACCCACAATTAGCACTACAACCGCGCTTCATTGCGCTTAGAGGCACAGCAACTGCAGAGGTACATGAGCTGCAGACCAATTTATGCCTAAAATGCCCTACAATGTAAAAACAGCTGCAGAGGTACATGAGCTGCACTGCTTTTGCGCTACAAACATAATCAGCCCCAGAGGCGTGAGCCGCAGACTTAGACTAGCCTACCTTCTTGCAAGTGGGGAGGGATGGCCCCCACCCTTTGTCTCTAATACACCTTTTCGAATGGTTCCCACTGTGTGGGGAGGGTGGGTGTTTTTGTTTTTTGGGCTTTTTTTGTTTGTTTGTTTTGGCAGGATGGTTCTTTGCATGGTCGTGCTGTTAGACAAAATGGAGCCCCGGGCAAAAATGAGTGCTTAACATTCTGCCCGCACCATTCCTGCTATTGCAGCGGAGTGAAGGGGCGCTGATTTGAGTGCAAAAAGCAATCTTTCGGGTCTTGGCAGAGCGGGCTGCCTCCCTAGCTGCGCTTGAGTGGCGGTGTAGTTGTAGTGGTGGCGCGGATTGGCATCCAGCAACAGTTTGTGGAAGCTGTCGGTTTGCCTTGTGCGGGAGGGAGGGAGGGGTGACTGGATTTGGGGGGTGATGGCTCTCATGCATGAAATGAATCTGGCTGTTGGCGTGTGTGTGTGTGTGGCGGGAGGTGGGGGGAGGCGGGAGGGGGATCCCGGGAGAGGCTTGCAGCGAGTCTCAGACTTTGCCCCGCCCATTCTAGCGGGCTTTCTCCGCAGTATCTGCAGAGAGCCGCCATAGCGCCACCCAGCGCCTACTCCAAGCGCGCCTCCTCAGCAGCGCGCCTCTCCCGCGCGCGCCTCACGAGAGCGCGCCTCCTTCCCCCCCCCCACCCTGGCCCCCCTCCCGCCAGATACTGCCTCCTCTGAGGCGCCTGGCCCAGGCCCCCCCTCCTCCTCCTGATGGAGGCCCGCCTCTTCTGACGTGGCACTCCCTGCCCCCCCCTCTTCTGACGTAATCCTGCAGAAGCCGCCCTCTCACTGAGCGCGCCTCCTCTGAGGCGCCTCTTTCAGATGCCCAACCCCCCGCCCCCTGCCTTTTCTCCAGCCCCTCCTCTGGAGATGTCTCCTCAAGGCCCCCTCCCTTTCCCTGAGCCCCTCCTCTGAGGGGACCCCTCCAGAGCCCCCCTTTCTCTGAGCCTGCCCATGAGGTGGCTCCCCAAGACTCCACCCCACAGCCTCGCTTCTCCACAGCTTGGCTCCTCCCCAAACCCACCTCCGTGGAGCGGGCTTACAGCCCCGCCTCCCTGAACCTGTATGCGCCTGCGCACTGTGAGCCCCCTACCCCTCCCACTCCGCCCCCCCCCCCCCCGCCTGCTTTCACGGTCTGAGCCTGGATGTACAGCCCCGCCCTCCTGCGGTTTCGGTGCTGCACTGATTTTTCGCTTTTTATCCACAAGTGTCTAATACATATGAAAATAAATAAGAACAATTAGAAGCAATTAAATGTGACATATTAAAGCTCTTTCAAAACAAGTGTTCTAATGAATATATAATATATATAAAACTGAATAATATAAATCCCACTAATATAAACTGATGATAGTGGGTTATGAAAGGTGCTTCTAAACTGACATGGCTGGTACCTTAAAGGATAATTAAAAATTAAAAAAAAATTTAGATTCACATTTATGGATTTTGTTGAGACACTTGTGGACCTTTGTGGTGAAAGCTACTGGAATTTGATGCAAAAATGGAACAAATTGAACTGTGTTTCTTGGAAGTTTTAAGTGGTGAATAGGTTGTGGTACATTGCCCTCTATGAGGATGTAGTGCTGTGTCTGTGAAGCTGGCTTTTTTTTTCTTCTAAGAACTCTAGGGGATTAACCTTGACTAATTTGCCTACATATTTATTAATTGTGCATGGCACATGGTAGGCATTCATTAAATATGTGTTAAATGAACCAAACTAATTAGTTTATTTCATGTTTTTTCTTGGTGTCTGCAGGTGTTTTCTGGCTTTTTAATCCTGGTTGTATCCTATGATGCTTTGCTGACCTGCATTATCCAATGCATTTATTGTCTTACTGATCTCATTTAGCAATGCATTTATTGTCTTACTGCTCTCATGTAGCAGTATCTTAGAAAGAAAGTATGTCTTTTAAACTCCAATAATGTAAGCTGTAGTTATACAACAAATAAGTTAATTTTAAAACACTCAAAATAATTACCTTCATTAAAATAAAAAACAAAAACTAATTATTTACGTTTGGGTCAAGTGGATTATTTAATGGTATACATTTACCATTTAAAATTAGTGTAATGTAATTACATTATAAAGTACAGAATTTAAGCTGGCATTATTAAAAATTTATAGGAAACAAATTTATGCCTTAATGCCAGCCATAAGTATAAGTTCCTAAGTAAATATAGAAATTTTGAAACCTGGTTCCATCTGTTATAAACCATGAGCCAGAACTTTAAGGGCATATTTAGGGGCTTTGGCTCAAAATATTTGGACAAATATGTATCAAGTATTTGTCACACTCCACCAATCCTAGCCCCTCCAATCAAATATACAAACTATGAGATGCATAATTACAGCTTTCAGGAAACATGCAATTCTTTTTTAACCACCTTGCTACCCTGACCCCCTACCCTTTGGCTTTTCTATATTTTAGAGATTCAAAATAATGTTAACATGTATTTTAATAAAATTTGCATCTGTATTTAAAATGTAAAACAAACTCTTGCTTAATTGAGTGTCATATTTTAATGTGATGCTTAATATGACGTGGGTTTTGGTTTCTGTTGCCCTTTAGTGTGTTTAGGGAATAGAAATTTATAGAAGTCATTATGAAGAGTCAAAGATAAATCAAAATTCTTTAGACTAGCACTGAAATCTTTCCTGTGTGTAAAGGTGACACCAAGTCCCAGGTGACTTGGCTTTTCAAGTTTCAGGAATGGGGTCTCAACCCTTTTTCCCCAATCCAGCCTCTGATAGGGGATTCTAAATACAGTTCTGTAATTCAAGTCAAGTCACAGTGCTCCTAGTACTACATTATTTGGAACTTAATTTGCTGCTTAAACTTTTTAAAACTTTAGATAAGTTTAAACAGATAAGCCACTGCCTATATCTATCACTTAATGGTTAAACTTCTTTATCTAGGCAGTTACCTCTTTCATACCTAGGGTGCCACAGACCCCAGGGATAGATAACTCTGGGTGGTTTATCTCTTTAGGACTTAAAGTCCTACCCCAGATTACAACCCCAGAAGTAGGAGCCTAAGACCTAAAATTTATGGGTTTCAAACTGTGACTTTATAAGCCTATAGGGCCTGAATTTGACGAATTTGACAGTGCTGGATTTAAAATAAATAAATAAATAAATGTCTTTGGGGAAGGGGTATGTATCCCCCAAGTAATTTAAATGTAAACCTTCTCCTCCCCAGTGTCCTTTACTTTGTTTTACCTATCTACTTAATGCATTTGAATTTTAAACCCTTAATTGATATTTCTGCTTCCCTAAACAATATAGTGATTATTTGCTGATTTGCTAATGTATTGTAATTTCTGTCCTATCATTGCATTTTACAGATACTAAAACCATCAGACATGGGCCTCAGTAAAGGCCCCACCCCAGTGACTGTGATTTCCACGTAGGTGTTAACCTTTCTGACCTGGATCACATTGTGCCAGGCCGTGCTGTGAATGCCTTTTCAGAACTCTTCAAAGTATGACAGAAATGGCACCTGAGTCACCTGACCTGTGCTTATTGTTTTGAATGTCCTATAAATAGTCTTGTTTAAAGTTGAAGATTGTAAACTGACACAAATAAACATTGCATTATTTTGTGCCTTTATATTGTGTCACCCATATAATATCTTTAAGGAGCTGGAAATGAAACAGTTAATACATTGATTCTTATTTTTTTCCCCCTAAAAAGGAACCTTTTATTTTGAGTGTCAATTACTTACTTTAAATCCCAAGTCATTAAAATAAATAGTAAATTGAAACTATTAAAATGAACAGCAGTTGTGTCCCTTAAGGATTCTGCTTGCTGTAAAGCCACACCCTGGAGAGATCATCCCAACAGGGAATGAGGAGGTAGTAGGGTTGAAGCAATTGAAGTACCCAAATAATTGGGGAGAGGGCGAGATTTCATAAAAGTACAGGACTGATAATTTAAGGGTCCTGTTTGATTACCACACCCCTCCCCCATTTTTCTCTTGTACCCTGTTGTTTTAAATACGTTTTTACATAACTTCTCCAAATAACACGTAGTCTTTTTTGTAGTTTAATCTTACATAATTAATTTGATGTTCATTTTTGCTTTGATAAATCAGAGAATAGGTGGAGAGGACTGCAAAATCAACATGTGGAAAAAGGCAGCCTGCTCTGTATATTATGTATTTAAATTGTGAGCCCTTTCCAAAGTTTTCCAAATAAAGAATTGGATGCTCATTAAAAAGTTATTGAAAACTTAAAATACACAACTCTAAAGTTACTTTCAATAATCTAAAACTTACTCTAAGTTATATATTTAACCTTATTTTGAGGAATTATGTCTATGCAGATTCTGTAGATTACTTAAAATCATAAATTAATTGTAAATTAATAATCATAATTCATAAATTTCTGAGAAGAGGAGGATGACATTGAGCTCTGTGGTTTTGATCATTTAGTATGATTTGTGTCAACGTAATCACAATAAGAACATTTATGTTGCCCCTCCTCTCACACCTCCTACCACTCAGCCCGCCCCACCCCCACCTTACTCAGTCACCCTAGAGGTACAACTCTGAACTCTGTCCTGCTCTAATATTTTAAACTTTCAGGTGGGGCATACTAGTCTTGTTTAAAGTTTAAGATTGTAAACTGACACAAATAAAGCCCCGCCTGCATTTGCTTTACTAATAGTTTTTAAAAGCAAATATATTTATATTGTGAGAAATAGCCAAGGTGAAAAATAGCCACGTTTCTATAGTTGTAGACCCTCCCTATTTTAATATCAACCCATTTGCCTAGAAAGTTACTGTTTTCTTTTTAATAATTATATTATTATGTATAATCGCATGCTTACCATGTACTTTACTTAATTAAACCCTCATTATAAAAGGCCTTTATTATTGGGCTTCTTTGAATGTCTCGTTTTATAAACCAGCTCCTCCTTTAAGCCTTCAGTTAAAACTTGACTGCATAATGTAGAGGGACACTGATACACATGTTGTTGCTCAGTGCCATTTCTGTCCCTTTAAGAATTCTCTTTGGGAAAACAAATCATTGCCAGAGAAATCATTTAGACAATTCTGTGGTCTTGTGGTTGTAGTAGTTCTTTTGATAATCAATTGCTTTCTGGATTTGGGTGGTGACAGTTGATGTGAATACTTGCCTTTCCTCCTCTCCCCCCAACCCCATGACTAAATTGTGATTTTATTTCTCATCTCCACTTTTTTTCTCTTTGGCTCCCTAGCAACTGAAATATTTGATGTTTTTCATGTAACTTCATTATGACAAGATACCATGTTGTGGGATTTATTTGAATATCTACTTATACCTTCAAAGTTTCTTGTCCTGTTCTCTGGACTTAAAACTACTTGTTTGGAGGGTTTCAATTTTCTTTCATAGTAAAGTAGCCATGCTGTTCATAAAGTGATATAATGTTGAATCGTAATGAACAGGTGACTAATGAAAATGAAAAGGTGATTTAGACATTCAAAAAAGAGGGTGCTTTTTGTTATCTATTGTCCTAATTGATTAGCTGCTTTTCTCTTTACAGAACTTCTGTTAGCTATCAATGTAAGCACTGCCTTTAGATTTAAGTACTTTAAAACTCATGTATTTAAAGTACTTCAATAGTAGACACTTTAAATACTCATGTATTTAAAGTAGATATTTTAAATACTCATGTATTTAAAGTATTTTGTAAATTCTCTAGATGCTAAGATCTTTGTGTTGTGCTTCTTGGAAAGTACATATTGAATTTATCCTCATTAAGCATGTTTTATCCTCACTTACAGAAACAAAAAGCTTTTGAAAACAAAAAGAAGGAGGGGTGGAAGAGGAGGCCAGGATCCAGGCCTCCACAGGAGCGACCACACCCGTGGGAGGTCCCCTCCCACCTCAGCCGTCAACCTGGGGCCCGACTGCCCTCCTCCTCCTCCTCCACCGCCCCCAAACGATCCCAACAAGCCCTCCTCTTCCTGCAATTCCTCGTCCTCATCTTCCTCATCATCATCCTCCTCACAAAGTGGGCAACGGGCCCAATATTCCAACCTAGATCGTAGACGAGACGATCTCTCTGAGGAGATCAACAACCTAAGAGAGAAGGTCATGAAGCAGTCCGAGGAAAACAACAACCTGCAGAACCAGGTGCAGAAGCTGACAGAGGAGAATACCTCCCTTCGGGAGCAGGTGGAGCCTCCCCCTGAGGAAGAAGAGGAAGATGACATCGAGCTCTGTGGTGCTGCCGCTGCTGCTCCCCCACCCATTCCCCTTGAGGAAGAGTGCCCAGATGACCTTCCAGAGAAGTTTGATGGCAACCCAGACATGCTGGTTCCTTTCATGTCCCAGTGCCAGCTGTTCATGGAAAAGAGCACCCGAGATTTCTCCGTTGATCGGGTCCGTGTCTGCTTTGTGACAAGCATGATGACAGGCCGTGCTGCCCGCTGGGCCTCTGCGAAGCTGGAGCGGTCCCACTACCTGATGCACAACTACCCAGCCTTCATGACCGAAATGAAGCATGTCTTTGAAGACCCGCAGAGACGGGAGGCCGCTAAACGCAAGATCAGACGTCTGCGCCAGGGCATGGGGTCAGTTGTCGATTATTCCAACGCTTTCCAGATGATTGCACAGGATCTGGATTGGAACGAACCCGCTCTGATTGACCAGTACCATGAGGGCCTCAGCGACCATATTCAGGCAGAGCTGTCTCACCTTGAAGTCGCCAAGTCACTGTCTGCGCTGATCGGCCAGTGCATCCACATTGAGAGAAGACTGGCCAGAGCCGCTGCAGCTCGTAAGCCGCGTTCCCCACCTCGAGCACTGGTGTTGCCTAACGTCTCAGGCCACCAGCAGGTTGATCCAACTGAGCCCGTGGGAGGTGCCCGCATGCGACTGACCCAGGAAGAAAAAGAAAGACGAAGAAAGCTGAACCTATGCCTCTACTGTGGGAATGGAGGTCACTACGCCGACAACTGTCCTGCCAAGGCCTCAAAGGCTTCACCGGCGGGAAACTCCCCGGCCCCGCTGTAGAGGGACCTTCAGCGACCGGGCCAGAAATAATAAGGTCCCCACAAGATGATGCCTCAACTCCGCATTTGCAAGTCATGCTCCAGATTCATCTTCCCGGCAGACACACCCTGTTTGTCCGAGCCATGATTGATTCTGGTGCTTCTGGCAACTTCATCGATCACGAATATGTTGCCCAGAATGGAATTCCTCTGAGAGTCAAGGACTGGCCAATACTTGTAGAAGCAATTGATGGACGTCCCATAGCATCAGGCCCAGTTGTCCATGAAACACACGACCTGATTGTTGACCTGGGAGACCACCGCGAGGTGCTGTCATTTGATGTGACCCAGTCTCCCTTCTTCCCAGTTGTCCTGGGGGTGCGCTGGCTGAGCACACATGATCCCAACATCACATGGAGCAGCCGCTCCATCTTCTTTGATTCTGAATATTGCCGATACCACTGCCGAATGTATTCGCCAATACCACCACCACTCCCACCACCAACGCAACCTTCATTTTACTACCCAGTAGACGGATACAGAGTTTACCAGCCAGTGAGGTATTACTATGTCCAGAATGTGTACACTCCAGTAGATGAGCACGTCTACCCAGATCACCGCCTGGTTGATCCCAACATAGAAATGATACCTGGAGCACACAGTATTCCCAGCGGGCACGTGTACTCACTGTCTGAATCTGAAATGGCAGCGCTGCGAGATTTTGTGGCCAGAAATGTGAAAGATGGGCTGATTACTCCAACAATTGCACCTAATGGAGCCCAAGTTCTTCAGGTGAAGAGAGGATGGAAACTGCAGGTTTCTTATGATTGCCGAGCTCCCAACAATTTTACAATCCAGAATCAGTATCCACGGCTCTCAATTCCAAATTTGGATGACCAAGCTCACCTGGCAACATATGCTGAATTTGTACCTCAGATACCTGGATATCAATCATACCCTGCATATGCTACATACCCGACCTACCCAGTAGGATTCGCCTGGTATCCTGTAGGACGAGATGGGCATGGCCGATCACTTTATGTGCCCGTGATGATCACCTGGAATCCTCATTGGTACCGCCAGCCTCCGGTACCCCAGTATCCACCTCCACAGCCACCGCCGCCGCCGCCACCACCACCGCCGCCGCCGTCCTACAGCACTATGTAAACACTTTCCATGTCCTTCAGGATCTCTACCCTCAAAATTGTTTCCTGTTCAGCTTCTCAGCCAGTGACTGTGCTAAACTGGTTTCTGTATCTTTAGGCCAACCTGAGGCAAGTCCTCTCTGAAATGGCTGTAGAAGGTCAGAACCACTCTGGACTGGCATGCATCTTAACAACCAAAAGTCTTTCACCATTTACTGGGAGAAATAGGGTATTTACCAACAAATCCTCTCTCAGTTTTCCACTTGTACTGCCAATCTAACTAAAATCCACGTTTACTTTGCAGAGAATCCCGGAAAGAATGGGTTTTACCTGCCGAATACCATCTGAATCATAGCTGCCAGATTCCTCAATGAGCATTTACAGAGAAGCTAATGTAAATACAGGAAATTCTGTTTTTTTAATGGAGGGAGAGATGAAGAGGAGGAGGAGGAGGACATGACTTTTCTTGCAGTTTCGGTACTCTTACGTAACTGGAGAACCGACGCCTTATGAAGGAAGCCAAAATTATTGGTGCAGTGTGAAATGGCTTCCGTGATCTTTATGCTGCACCCTTTGAAACTTCACCATCTTCAAACTCCACTTTCATGGTTCCGTTAATTCTCAAGGAGCAGCAATTGACCCAGGAGCAGGCAAAACCCCTGCAACAGAAACACCTCAGGCCTGAGAAGGAAGTGCCCTCTCAGACAGACTCTTGCATGTTAAGAGTGTGCCTTCACATCCTGGTGCAAATCACATGTACCCAAGAACTATGGCTTTATCACAACACCTTACCATCATCATGCCAGTAATGGCTTCCACAGTGTTCAGCCTGGTAACCAGAGACTATTGGTAGCTCCAGGTGTGATAGATGTTTGTGAAATGTGACCACCTATCATTCATGTATGAGGGCTAATGACTGGCAAATCATTTTGATTTGGGACTCATATCCCATACCCAGTTCTTAAAAGAGACTGAACTAATGATACCTCTTTGTCCTGCTTCAGAAAGAATTCTCATGACTGTTGTTAATTGGATGAAAGAATATCACCTCAAGTCTTGGGAGCATCTGACCTTGCCTGCCTCCATGTGCATCTAGGCATTCCATCATCAATCCCCTCACTAAACTGTAGCATTAGGATGCTTAGAGAGGGGAAATGATTTTAGCACCCAGACTCACACTCCTATGTCTGGGAGGGATGTCTCTGAATTTTAAAAATGGGGCACTGGATATGTCACCACGTTTTAAAGGATTGGAGTCCACATATTGTAAAGAGGTACTCTCTAAGGGATGGAGCCAATAATTAACTGCCACTGAATGAAAGGCCTCAGAAATCAATTCAAATGACTCAAAGCCAGGACAACCCAAGAGTTGTATGCTGAAGGCTTTGTGCTCACCTGGGACTGCCTGACTTTCTTTAGCCTGGTCCCTTGCTACTACCTTGAACTTCCTATCTAACCTCTCTCTTTCTGTTTAATTCTTTACTACTGCCACTAATGCTGCTGCACAATTTGTGTCATCTTGCCTGCCTGGTTGCTGAGACTCCGTTTAGCACCTGTGCATGGAGAAGGAAGAGGCAGGTTGCATGGAGCCTATGTTTCAGCATAGTCTTCAATTGCCAAAATACAGTTTGAGCAGTAGAAAGCAACATGGTGTATATTTCAGATTGCCTATCATGAAAAGGAGTACAATGGTGAAGTTTCATCATCTCATCATTATCTTCACATATTCATTATCATCCTCACTTATTATTGCATGTTAAAATACTTAAAATTTTTATCTGTAGGTTAGTAGTGTCCTTTTACAGTGTTTTTTAAGTGGTGACTGTGCTTTCAAAATTATTTCCATTGAATTACAAAGTACTATCCAATTCTTATTGTTAGTTAAAATAATTAAAACTGGTAACGTAGAGAAAATAATTCTTAACTGTGAACTTACAACACTGTGAATGAGAGACTCCTCGTAACTGGAGTTTTTGTTTAATAGTTCTTTCTGTTCATCTTCCGTCTTTGCTTTAGTATATATAACTTCAATTTTATTAATTGGCCCTTTAAAAATCATAAAAATTATATGCAAATTAAAAGAAGATATTTAATTGGCTATTCAATTCGAAATATTTTCCCTGTCCTGACCCCCCTCCCTATCCCTTCCCTTCCCCACTCCTAACCCCAGCCCCACCCCCTTTACCACCCCCAACTCCCCTCCCAGCCCCACCCCCCTATACCTATCCCAGCTTCCCTCCCTACCCCACCCCCTTCACCAACTCCAACTCCCTTCCCAGCCCCCACCAGCACTCCCAGCCCCGCCCCCCTTCTTTCCAATGGAATTAGAAAGCTTGTCACTCATGTGTTTTAGAGTAATTTTTAAATGGTGCATTTGTGCTGACTTTTTTGAAGCATCACTTAAGTTTACCTCAGTATCAATTCATCCTCCATACATTTGCATTCAAGTTGTTTTATGTCAAATTTACAGTTGTCAATTGATCATCAAGCTGCAGGGGTGCCTACAATCAGGCCTAATCTGCAGCCCGAGCATGTGCACACGGACATTTGCCTTCACTGCAAGCAAAAGCCTGGAGAATTAGTGAGCAACATCCACTGTCAGGAAGAGGAATGATGTTGCAAGTTAACAACAACTGGAGAAATTCCCTGACATAAGTTTGGCTGTTCAATGATGCTTGTAAAAGACTTGGGCAGTGTGTACTATGCACTATTGCTATATATGCTATCTATAAATGTAGAAGTTAAGATAATTCTATAGTATAAAATTTTGTTAAGTTTCCTTTTACTCATTTGACTTATTTTGCTAAGTTTCCTTTCAATTTAATTTTTTGTTGATAAAAATTTATGCTAATTGGATACTTTTAATTTGGGTGGAGCATTTCCCAGAAATGCCTTCATTCACATAAATGGAAAAAATTATAGAGTTTAATCTCTAAAGTTAGAAGAAAGGGAGCAAAATAAAACATAAATGTTATAAATTAGACAAAACATTGGAATTTTAAGCAAAACTAATTCTTTTAGAAATTGATAAAACTGATTGAATTTTGGCTACAATTTTCAGTTTGCAAAAAAAAAACTGAAGAAAAATAAGCTCCCATTTAAAAACAAACCTGGTGAGAACTAGCTATGGTCATCATGCTAGAAACTGAAACGGAGGAAGTTTTCGTACATAGGGTCAGTTTAGTTTGAGCAAGAAAGTATTTGTGGAAGGTACTGGAAAATGGAGACTGATTAGATCATGTGAGATAGCACAGTTATAAGAGAGAGCACATATTTATTGTGCAGTTTGGATTTCTGTTTGAGTTTGCAGGTACCTCCTTGGACTCCTGAATTGATCCAGTTGTCATCTACCACAGACAAGTAACATCAGATAGAATTCCAAGATTGGCAACAGAGAACAATCTACTATAAAGACCTGGGAGAAGTAAGGACCATCTGCGGCTGAACCACCTGCCAAGATTAAGAGCCCAGCGGGAACTAAATGTTCTTTGTTGTTTAAGATTGTACAATGTTATTGAATTGGTCTGTGGAAAATTTGTCTTTTTTTTTTTTGTTTAATCAGTTTAAGTAATAAGGGTCATATATAATCATAAGTAGTTTAGGATGGGAGGGACTATTAGATTTTAAGTGGGTGGGATTAGTTTAAAATTAGCATGATTCTATGTAGTAGATATCTCTTTAAGTGAACATGTGTACTTGTGATTCCTTACCCACCCTTAAGGATTTCAAAAAACTCGAGGGAACTGCAGGGAAGTCAACCTTTTTAGGACAGCTGGGATATGGATAACACTCTTACGTAGGGAAAAGCTCAAAGGTGATTGGAAAAATAATTTAAATTTAGGCCCTTTGTTCTGGGTATTAACTCTTGGGATGAAGATGGTAAGAAAAGCCCCTTTAAGAGTTATTGGGTGGATAGATAACATTTGAGAAATAGTTGTTAGATTGAAATTGACTAAGATGATGGTAAATACTCATGGAAATTAGAGGAAAATGATGAATAAGAACCCTTGCTTATCCCTGCAAGTTGCCCTCCTCTTTCCCTTACCCTTACCCTTCTTTCCCACCTCCTGACTCTTCCCCAATTTAATCCCTGTATTCTCTTTACTGTATTTCTCTCTATTTACTAATATTGTATTGGTGTTATAATAAAAATTCAATAAAGATTTAGTGGTTAAGTGCAAACTGTGCCCGGATCATTTCAGCGTCCACCAACATCAAGGGGAAAGGGTGAGGGGAATGGGAAAGGGCAGGGCGGAGCTATTAAGAGGGTAAAGGGAAGGTTGGAGGAATGGGGGAAGGGTGAGGAAGATGTACTGAGGGGTGGGGCAGAGGGGGAGTGAGAAACTATAGAATGGGTGGGGGATGGGAAGATGGGAGGGTAGGGAGGGGGGGTGAATTTAGAATTGGGTTTGTGTGGTATGAACTGCCACTATCAAGCATATATGAATAATGTTCTGACAAATGACATTATTCCAGCAATAAAACCCGAACATAAATAATAAAGCCAAATAGTAGAAACTTATTGATATTATATAAGAAGCAGTTAAGTTGCAGAATTTTAACACACAAAACACAGTCATATAATAACGATTGATATGATACAAAAATTCTATTAAGATGCAAAACTTTAAAATAAAGCTGTCTTGAACTGAACAGCAGAACAGGCCACCAAGGTGGGGAGAGGGGTGCTGGATGTGGGAAGGATGGGGTCAACAACATTAACAACCACTAGGAAAAAAATCAGGCCATTAACAGTGACTCTGTTCTCATACTATTAAAATTTTTAAATACAAATACTAGTTGCAATTTGCAGAAAAATTATAACACTAGAACAGAACAGGAAGACAATGAAATAAGGTAGTGATGTGTGGAAACATGCATATTTTTACACACCAGTTAGGACTAAAGTAATAGTGATTTTGAAAACAATCTGAGGAAAAGTCACAAATGGCATTTATGAGGTACTCATTGTTTCAGATTTCAGAATACAATGACATGATTAGAGTTCTAGAATAAATTACATATAGAAAACCTAAAAGGGGATTCTTAGCAGTTTTAAAGAATTGCTGGTTTCATATAACATGGTGATGACATAAACAGCAGTTTATGGAGAGATAATATTGATAATGACAAAATTGGAGTAATAACACAACTAGAATCACATTTCTTTGGAATTCTATTGCCCTGAATAATGACCCATCAAACCCAGAATTCAGGCTGTCAGGGTACAGATGGTGGTAGTAATATTGAGGAAATTGGGGATGGGACACAAGTAAATGCCTTTAAAATGCCTACTGGAGGGAGTTTGACATAATTTTAACAATATGGCATAAGTCAAATCACTGCCCTAATATATATGAGAAGAAAGTAAAATACTCTATTAATCCCTGCTTCATTATATGGAGGCTATTCCCCATCTGGAAGCCCACCTGTTGTGAGATAATGGATAGTATTGAGGAGCTTGGGGTTTCATATACAATTAAATGACCCTAATATGCCTACCCAGGGGGTTACATATAATTTCAACAATATGGCATGAAAACCAAATCACTATAGAAATCATGGAGAAGAAAATAAAACATAATATCCATCTCTGTTTTGTTAAACATCAGCGCCTTATTCTGACCCCTACATATCTTCATAAACTGCATGATTTAACAAATAGATGATAAATCTCAAGATTATATTAGATTATGCAACTAGATCAGAAGAAAGTTTAGATCATAATAAGTCAGTTTATATGATTCTGGCAATATTTGTTGAAGCCCATACCAATTTTACAAAAGAAGTGGCTTCCCAGAGAGAAATCAAGTTTTTTTTTTTAATTGTAATTGCAGAAACTCCTAAAGAATTCCTCTTGGCTAATGTAGTTAAAATCAGTAATCAAAATGACTTTTATTTTATTTAAAGGGCTAGACAGATAGA